TACTCTAATGCCTGAAATTTTGTTGCCCTGAACGATTTTTAAAATTTGGTCTGGTGTACTGGCGTTATTATTATTATACAAAGATTTACTTGAGTGTTTCTTTCATTGGAATGGATTGCATTGATTCATTTTTCCTTTTTCCCTATGAGAAAACAATATATTCAGTTTTTTTATGATTACAGTTTTTATGTTAACTGTAGGATCACATGCAGTCGTGAGAAATAATACAGAGATTCCATGTGCTCTTTTTCCAGTTTCACTCAATGGTAACATCTTGCAAAACCATGATACAGTATTACAATAGGGTATTGATGTGGATACAGTCAAAACACAGAACATTCCATCACCACCAGGATCTCTCATGTGATCCACTTCCCTCCTGCCAATCACCTTGTTAATCCCTGGCAACAACTCATCTTTTCTCCATTTCTATAATTTTGTAACATTTCAAAAATGTTTTATAAATCATATGATCTGTAACGTTTTAGGATTCACTGACAATAATTTTCTGGAGATTCATCCAGGTTTTTGCATGTCTTAATAGTTCATTTCTTTTTATTACTGTAGTATAGATACACTATATTTTGTTTAATTATTCACCCATTTCTAGTTTTTGGCTATTACAAATGAAGTTGTTATAAACATTTGTGTAGATTTGAGTGTGAACATACGTCATCATTTCTTTGGGATAAATACTCAGGAATGGGATTGCTGGGCTGTATGATAGTCACATGTTTAGTTTTTTAAGAAACTGACAAATCATTTTCCAACATGGCTGTAGCATTAGTGGTTTGCAAATATTAGTCCCCAGTCTGTAGCTTGTCTTTTACTCTTCCTTAGTAGGATCTTTCAGAGAGCAAAAGTTTAAAAATTTGTATCAAATCCAATTTATCAATTTTTACTTTATGGATTGTGCATTTGGTTTCAAATCTAAGAACTCTTTGCCTAGATCTCAAATAATTTCTTCTATGTTTTTTCTAAAAGTATTATGGTTTTATATTTTACATTTAAGATTTGGCACATTTTTGGTTAATTTTATATAAAATGTGAAACAGGCCAAGGTCTATTATTTTTGCTGTAGATGTCCAATTGCTCCAGCATCATTTGTTGAAAAGGCTAATTTTTTCCCCATTGAATTGCTTTTGCACTGTTGTCAAAAATCAGTTATGCAAATTTGTGTGGGTCTATTTTGGGTTCTCTATTCAGTCCATTGATCTGTGTGTCTATTCCTTTACCAATATCACACAGTTTTTACTACTGCATCTTTTTTTTTTTTTTTTTTTGGAGACACAGACTCACTCTGTTGCCCAGGCTAGAGTGCCATGGCATCAGCCTAGCTCACAGCAACCTCAAACTCCTGGGCTCAAGCAATCCTCCTGCCTCAGCCTCCCAAGTAGCTAGGACTACAGGCATGCGCCACCATGCCCGATAATTTTTCCTATATATTTTTAGTTTTCCAGATAATTTCTTTCTATTTTTAATAGAGATGCGGTCTTGTTCTTCTTCAGGCTGGTCTCGAACTCCTGACCTCGAGCAAATCCTCCCTCCGCCTCCCTGAGTGCTAGGATTACAGGCGTGAACCACCGCGCCTGGCCACTACTGCATCTTTATAGTATGTCTTAAAATCTTTTATTTTTCTTTTTCAAAATTGTTTTAGCTACTCCTTTGCCTTTCCATATAAATTTTGGCATAACCTTGCCTATGTTTGCAAACATTCTCACTGAGATTTTGATAGGAATTGTATTAAACCTGTATATCAATTTGGGGGAAATTGACATCTTTATTACATTGAGTATTTCAGTGCTCAAACAAAATATCTCTCCGTTTAGATCTTCTTTGATTTCTTCCATCAGTGTTATATAATTTTTATTATACAAATTCCATACATGCTATTGTTAGGCATTATGCCTAAGTATTTAACTTTTTGAGCAACTTTGAATACTGTATTATTAATTTAGAAATCCATGTGTTTGACACTAGCATGTAAAAATACAATAGATTTTTGTATGTTTATCTTATATCTTATGTACTGAAATCTTAGTTCTAAAAGGTTCTTTTATAGATTTCTTTGGCTTTTCTATAGGAAATTATGACACTTGGAAATAGGGACAGTTTTATTTATTCTGATCTGTATGCGTTTTTATTGTTTTCCATTCTTCTTGCCTGGTTGCACAGAGCAGAACTTCTTGTGCTATGTTGAATAAAATTAATGAGAGTGAATATCCTTATCTTTTCCCAATTTTAGGAAAGCATTCAGTCTTTTACTATTTTATCATTAAGTATAATGCTAGCTCTGGTGTGTTTTTTTTTGTAGATGCTCTTTATAAGTTCTCTATTCCTAGTTTTCTGAGTTTTTATCATTAATGGGTGTTAATGTTAGTCAAATGCTTTTTCTTCACCAATTGATATAATCATGTTTTCTTTAGTCTGTTTCTTTAGACTAAAATATTGAGCCAGTCTTGCATTTCTTTCTGGTCATGGTATCTAATCTTTTAATATTGCTGAATTCTATTTGCTAATATTTTGGTAGAAATTACTATATCTATATTCATGAAGAATATTATTCTATAGTTTTTCATATTAGTACTATCTTTGGTTATGGAATTAGGGTAATACTAATTTGGGAAGTCTTCTTACCTCTTCTATTTTCCAGAAGAGATTGTGTAGAATTGGTATGAATTCTTCTTTAAAAGTTTGGTAGAACTATTGAAACCTTCTAGGCTTGCATATTTACTTTTAGAGACTTAAAATTATGAATTCAATTTCATTAATGATTATAGGGCTATTTAAATTTATATCTTATTGGAGGAGTCATGATAGTATGTTTTTTAAGGAAGTAGTTAATTTCATCTGAGTTGTCAAATTTATGTTTGTAGAATTCATATTATCCCTTTTATTGTCTCAGAGTCTATAGTGATATCCCATGTTCCAGGAATATAAATATTGGTAATTTGTGTCTCCTCTCTTTTTTCTTCCTCAGCCTTGCTACATGTCTGTCAATTTTATTGATCTTTTCAAAGGACCAATTCTTTTTTGCATAAATTTTCTCTTTTGTTTTTGTGTTTTCAATTCATCGATGTCTGCTATCATTGTATTTTCTTCCATCTGCTTGCTTTGGATTAATTTGTTCTTGTTTATCTAGATTATTGAGGTGGAAACTTGGATTATCGATTTGAAACTTTTCTTCTTAATCTGATGTATGTATTTACTACTATAAATTTTTTCCTCAACATTGCTTTAGTTGTGTCCTACAAACTTTGATATATTGCATTTTCATTTTTATTAAGTGCAGTGTATTACTAAAATTTCCTTTGAGACTTCCTCTTTCACCCATGGATTATTTAGAAGTATGTTATTTAGTTGCCAATTATTGGAGATTTTCCTGTTATCTTTCTGTTATTAATTTCTAGTTAGATTTCATTGTGGTCAGAGAAAACACTCTGTAAAACTTCAATTCTTTTAAGTGTTTTGAGGTTTGTTTTATGGCCCAGCATTTGGTCTATCTCGATATATCTTTCATGGGGACTTAAAAAGAATGTACATTCTGCAGCTGTTTGATAGACTATTCTATAAATAGTCTCTTATTAGATCATGTTGGTTGATGATGTTGTTGAATTCTTCCATATTCTTGTTGATTTTTTATCTAGTTGCTCTGTTAGTTGTTGAGAGTGGAGTGTTGAAGTCTCCATCTATAGTGTGGATTTATCTATTTCCCCTTCCAGTTCTATTAATTTTTGCTTCACACATTTTGCTGCACTGTTGATTGATGCATACACATTTAGGATTGCTGCATCCTCTTGGTGAATTGACCCTTTTATCATTATTAAACATCCTCTCTTTGTCTCTGACAATAACGTACCTACATTGTTATATTTAAAGTAAGCTTCTTATAGATAGCAAATAGTTGGGTTATGTTTGTTAATTCACTCTGCAAATCTCTGTTCTTTAATTGCTATATTTAGATCATTTACATTTAATGTAATTATTGATATGTTAGGGATTAAGACTGCTATTTTAATTTTTATTTTCTGTTTGTTCTGTTTTCTATTTCTCTGTTTTCTTTTTTCTATGGATTACTTGAACATTTTTTAGAATTCCATTTGGATATTTCTATTTAGTGTTCTTGACTGTATCTCATTGTATAGCTTGTTTAATGATTGCTCTGTATATTATATTATATATACATAATTTATCACAGTCTACTGGTGTCATTTTACCACTTCAAGTGAAATATAGAAAGCTTACCTCTTTTTATATTCCTTCCCCCTGCTTTGTTTATAATATGCTACTGATTTTTGTTATTCACAGTAGCTGTGTTCTAAAGTCTCTCTGAATTAGCAAATACTAAACCATTGCTCCTAGGGGAAAATGTGAGCCTCAGATCACATTTTTGTCAACTGATCAATACATAACCTTGTTTTATGGACGTTTTCTACTGCAAGGCACCTTATATTCAATTAGCATTGAATTCATGGCCAACAGCACTAAAACTCATGCCTTAATGGAGCTTATCTAACACACAAAGTTTCTTCGTAAGACACATCACAGCTTTCTTGCACTTAGAAATACTAGACAGCCTTTCAGCACTACACTTGAGGGCCATTTTGAACAGTGAATTTACCAACAAAAGATACAAAATTGCACATAGTGTGGCACTAGATAGACTGCAAAAAGAATACTTATTTACAATATAAGAGCCGAAACAGAAGATTACAGCCTTGTAATCTCAGCTTGGAATGTGTTAGAAGACTCAAAGTTTTTGCCACTCTGTACGTGTTCACTATGAAAGTGCTATGAGTCCTAATTTGGGGTTTACAAATAAATTTTAGTGAGTAGACAGATTCACAAATGCAGAATCTGTAAGTAATGAGAATCAACTATAATTATCTTGAATATTTTTTCTATATATTTAGAACCACATCAGCTAATGTTATTTTTGCTAAAACCATCAAACATAATTTGGAAAACTGAAGGAGATAAGAGAAACCAACTATATTTACCTGCATTTTTGCTTACTGTGTTCTTTATTTCTTACTGATGTTCTAAAGTTTCCTTCTTTTATCGTTTCTCTTCTATTTAGAGCATTTACTCTATCCATCATTTTAGGATAGGTCTACTGATGATAAATTCTCTTTATTTTCTATAATGTAAGAATGTCTTGATTTTCTCTTTATTCCTGAGGCAAATTTTCACTGCATGTAAGATTTTGAGTTGCCAAGGCTTTTCTCTCAGCACTTGAAAAATGTTGTATCACTTCCTTCAGTCTTCCATGGTGTCCAATGAGAAATCTGCTGTCATTTGGGTTGTCTTCCCAGGTTACGTAAAACATCATTTTTCTTGGCTGTTTTTCTTTAAGAGTTTCCTCTGTCTTTATTTTTCAGAACTTCAATTATGATGTATCCTGGCATTCTTTGAGTTTGTCCTGTTTGAGGTTGACTCAGCTTCTCAACTTGGTAGGTGTATACCTCCTGCCAGATTTGGAAAGTTTTCAGCCTTTATTTCTCCAAGTATTCTCTGGCCCTGACTTCTTTTCCTTCTCCTTGGATTCTGGTGACATGAATGTTAGATATTTTCTGATAGTCCCATAGGTCCCTGAGTTTCTATGTGTGTGTGTGTGTTTTCCTCTCTGTTGGTTATTTTTTTATTTTTAATTTTTTTGAGACAGAGTCTCACTTTGTTGCCCCAGCTAGAGTGCCATGGTGTCAGCCTAGCTCACAGCAACCTCAAACTCGTGGGCTCAAGCGATCCTCCTGCCTCAGCCTCCCGAGCAGCTGGAACTATAGGCATGTGCCACCATGCCTGGCTAATTTTTTCTATATATTTTTAGTTGGCCAATTAATTTCATTCTATTTATAGTGGAGACGGGGTCTCACTCTTGCTCAGGCTGGTTTCAAACTCCTGACCTTGAGCAATCCTCCTGCCTCGGCCTCCCAGAGTGCTAGGATTACAGGCGTGAGCCACCGCCCGGCCCGCTCTGTTGTTTAGACCGGGAAGTTTCCATTGCTTCATCTTCCCATTCACCAATTCTTTCCTCTGTCCACTCCACTCTGCTGTTGGGTGCACGCACCAGGACTTTTATTTCAGTTATTGTATTTTTCAGTTCTCAAATTCCCATTTGGTTCTTCTGTGTCGCTTCTCATTCTTTGCGAGACTTTCTATTTTTCTTGCTGAGGATTTTGGTTTCTTCATTTGTTTCAAGTGTGTTCATATAATACTTGTTCTTTGAAGCACTTTTTGCTTTTTTGAAATTTTATTTGAGTGTATTATGGGGGTACAAGTGTTAAGGTTACATATATTGCCCATGCCCCCTCCCCCCTCGAGTCAGAACTTCAAGCGTGTCCATCCCCAAACGTTGCACTCTTACTCGTTGTGTTCTATACACCATCCTTCCTCCCCCTCCCACCCTCCCGACACCGATAGATGTTACTCCTATATGTCCACTTAGTGTTGATCCGTTAATACCAATTTGCTGGTGAGTACATGTGGCGCTGGTTTTTCCATTCTTGAGATACTTCTTGTATATTCCTGGATACAGCTGGAACCCATTCTACTAAGTGAAGTATCTCAAGAATGAAGCACTTTTTATCAGGGCTGGTATAAAATGTTTGTCCGATAATTCCAACACCTCTGTCACTTGCTGTTGCTATCTATGGATTGTCTTTTTGCATTCCTTTTGAGGTCTTTCTGGTTTGGAGGATAAGGAGTGTTTTTTGATTGAAATCTGGACATTGTTATGCTTCGTTTGGAGGCTGGATCTTATTTATTTATTTATTGATTGATTGATTGATTGAGACAGAGTCTCACTTTGTTGCCCAGGCTAGAGTGAGTGCCGTGGCGTCAGCCTAGCTCACAGCAACCTCAATCTCCTGGGCTCAAGTGATCCTCCTGCCTCAGCCTCCCAAGTAGCTGGGACTACAGGCATGGCCCCATGCCAGCTAATTTTTTGTATATATAGTTGGCCATTAATTTCTTTCCTATTTATAGTAGAGACGGGGTCTCGCTCTTGCTCAGGCTGGTTTTGAACTCCTGACCTTGAGCAATCCGCCCGCCTGGCCTCCCAGAGTGCTAGGATTACAGGCGTGAGCCACCGCGCCCGGCCTTGGATCTTAGTTAAATCTTCTGGTTTAGCTGGCATATTCTGCCACCACTCTGGGAAAGGGAGCGGGGAGCACTGCATTGTCCCTGCCAGGCGGAGGTTGCATCCCGTGTTCCTGTTGGCCTCTTGGCTTCTGTCCGTGCCCCAGGGGGTGGCTTCCTGTTACAGCTGGGCAGGGACGGGGGTCCTGGCTCCCCATGCAGTCTCCACTGATACCCCAGTGCCCCTGGGCCGTGGTGACATAAATTTCTGCCTGTCCCCTACTCCTCTTGTGACATCATCTCAGTGGGGTATAGTCACAGTTTCCTTTTTAAAAAATAATTTCTTTTGTCTAACAAATAGATCATTAAATTTCCTTGATGAACTCTATAGTTTTCCACTTCTATCCTCTCCCTGCTGATTAATTCTTCTTCTTTTTTTTTCTTTTTGAGACAGAGTCTCACTCTGTTGCCCAGGCTAGAGAGCCGTGGTGTCAGCCTCGCTCTCACCAACCTCCAACTCCTGGGCTCAAGCGATCCTCCTGCCTTCGCTCTCCGAGAGCTGGGACACAGGCATGCACCACCATGCCCGGCTAATTTTTTCTATTATTTTTAGTTGGCCAATTAACTTCTTTCTATTTTTTAGTAGAGACAGGGTCTCACTCTTGCTCAGGCTGGTTTTGAACTCCTGACCTTGAGTGATCCACCCATCTCGGCCTCCCCGGCCTGATTAAATCTTTATTTACAGTAAATCTCCACCTGTCTGGGGACTGGCAACTGCCCAGATGCTGCTGCTTCACCCAGGATAGATTTTCGTTTTGTGCAGCTATTATTTTCTTCCACCCTCATTTCAATTGTTTTCTGATCCTCTTGCTATTTATCACAATTTACCCACTCTGTGCCTTGCAGTTCTCATTGCTCGAATGTTTGCTTGCATTCTGTGTGCTCTGTTCAGAGTGTTTCCTTTTAAAATGAACAACCAAAAAGCAGGTTAAGTTAAGGGGCTGAAAATGCAAGCCAATGCATCTTGAGCTGGGGTTTCTCCCTCTGGGTTCAGGGGGTATCTCACGTTGACTGGGGGAGGGTCAATAAGAGAGACTAGCTGAGGAGCTGCTTTTGAAGACTAAAATCCATTTCCTCCGAGGAAAGGGAATAGTGCAACACTACTTTCGATCATATTTCCCTGTCTCGGCCACTTGGTTGGTGTGGTAGCAATCAGAAGCTATAAATAGATGAAATTTGCTAGAAGCGTCTTAAAGAACCATCAGGAAATGGCTGTCGTTGCTCAGAGTATTTTGGAAACTAGCATGTTAGTCACTGATACCATTATACTTAATTTCACTCTTGCAAATATTGTTCATGGAAATTGTCACCCGGTTGCCAGCCTCTGGGATTCTCAGAGGCGTCCTTTTAATTAATGCCTTCCCCTCCCCTGCCTTCTACACACTCTTAGACTTCTGGATGGCCAAATAGGATTTGAGTGATTGATTAGCAAGGTCTCCTAATGATTTTGATTAGCTCTATTTGTTTTGCATGTAATTATCTTTTCTCGGTAATTAGAATTTTAGTCACAGTATTCATACTTGATATAATTTTGTATGACGATTACCCCAGTTAAACTCAGATATATTTATAATTTTCAAGCAATTAGAGAACAATTTAGCCAAACCTATAGTAGTTCTTCTTCTGAAGGAAAAAAGATGTCTTGTTTTGATTTGTTTTAAAACACAGAGTAATTTTTGCTTACGAAAGACAACTGATAACACAAATTGATTGCATTTTTAAAAATAATGTTTCCTGAAAAATCATTTGTTGGGTGCAGTTGATATTAGGTTCCAGTAACCTTTTCTTTGGAGAAGAATTTGAGTGGGTTGGCCTTTTGGATCCATTTATTAGATTAATCTCTTTTTAGAGAGTCCCAATTATGCTGTATCTGGTGTCTGGAAAAGCAAGAGTATGAGTATTCCTGTCTACTTGTGTTCATGGTCTTCAATAAAACATTGTATTTGTGGACTGTAGCATTCCGCTAGATTCTAAGCATGTCTCCCTTTATCCCCTTAGGGAAAAAGAAGTGGTTATCTGGATTTATTCAGGTCAACTGCAGAGCTGGGGCTGAGCAGGACTTTAGCTGCTCCACCCTTGAGTCCCTGGGCAGCTGTGTGGCTGCCTGAGCCCTTGTTGGGACAAGCAGAAGCATTAGGGTACCCAGCCCCTGATGGCACATGATAAGTGAGGCTTCCTCCCCTGCCCTGCCTTTTGGCCAATGCACTTTTGACAGTATGCATGCTGCCTGCAATGCTCTTTTGTAGGAACTAATGATAAGTATGAGCTGCTCTCTCCAACTCCTTTAAGGTCATCCTAATTGGCTTGTGTGTGTGTGTGTGTGTGTGTGTGTGTGTGTGGTTATAAAGCCTTTCAAAGAGACTAACTACATATTCTTTTACTCACAGCTGCATATTAATGATATTTCCTTTGGAATCTTTTTAAAGCAGCTTCAATGCCAGTTTTTATACAATTTGCTAGTGGTTGCAAATCGATAGAAACTAAAACTCCCAGCGAGGCACAATTCCGTCTGTAAGTTAGGGGGAACTTGGACACAGAGTGAGTCCCGTGGACGTGCTTTATGGGCCACCTGGCTCTTGTGAATGGCAGCGTAGAGGAAGGCAAAGGAGCCGCCAACCGCGGGAACTCATAATCAGCACTTAATGCCTCTGTCTAAACAGTTTAACTCCCTCTGGCTCCTTTTTCCCATAGTCGCTGCTGACAGTGACTGCTTATAAGCGGAATAAGGCCGGATTCAACAATCCAGATATGGCTCTTAATTATTAAAGAATCAGCATGTCTAAACATGCACATCCTTTGAATTGGGGGTCAAACAATGAGATCTTGGGCAGAGAAGTAGTAGTATTCTCTTTCTCTTTAAATTAGCAAAAACAAACAACCAACAAGACCAAAGCAGTCATTGCAGGAAGCCAAAGGGTTTTTCCTATATCCTAATTCTAAATTTGGAACTTAAAACCCTGAATAAGGAGGAGGCTCTTAATTACTCTCCATACTCAAGCTTCTGCTGAATCGAGTCTTCTTGCTGATGTGATCTATGCTTAATCAATTTAACCTTGAACCAGCCTGATACCATGAAACATTGTGAACCCAACAGCACAGAGCTTTGGCGATGCTTTGTGTGTCAGCCATGAATTTGTGGCTTCTCTTATCCTAAATTAAGCTTCTCAACATGTAATTACCCATCCCACACAGTGAACCTATCTCCAAGATAAATGTTTCTGCGTGGCTAAAGGCTGGTTCACAAAACAAAAACAAGTCCTCCTCTCTCTCACTACCACCAGACAAACTGTGAATCCCTGCTCAGAGCTCTGTTCTTAGGGCTTGAGTGCTGTAATGTTTTTAACTTTATTGATTACATAAAGATAAAAGTTAGCTCAAGGAAGTGTTTATTGCTCCCTTTTCCCCTTTTCTTCTTTTTTTTTTTCCTTCCACAATTTGAGGGAGAAAA